GAAACCAGAACCCAGAGCCCTGAGGTGTGGGTTTGCAGCATTCATCCAAGCTTTTCTTGAGTCTGATGCTCAGTGCTCAAGAGTATACTTGTATCTCACAGGGGGATCGTAGTGCCTGCTCACATCCCTTAGCTCATGGACAGCTTCAGGCAACACTGGGGGGCGAGTAGGGAAGTCTGCATAAAGACAGATTCAACACTCTATGAAATGAGAAAACTGAGGCCTGAAGGGGCAGGGACTTGCTTCAACCACAGGATGAGTGAGGGCAGAGCTGAGACTGGGGCTATGCAGTTGACTTTCCATAACTGCCCATCACAATAAACACAAAAAATGTTATTTTTACATCCCCAGCATTCAGCTTAGTTCCGGGCATGTGGTGGGAATTTGATAAATGCTTGCAAATGAATGAATGAATGGGTCAGTCCCACAGACCAGCATTCTGAGGGGCCAAGGCCTGGTCTGTGGGATGAGAAAAAAAAGCAACATTTATTGAGCAACTTCTGTGGACCTGGTGTTCTGCAAGCCCTCTTTCCTTCATTCCTCTCAACAGCTAAAGCTCAGACCAGTAGCTGTCTCTCCACACAGTGAGTGTCCTCAGTGCCATTCAGGTCTTGATGTGGTTTCCTTTAATATCCTACATTGGCTTTGTAGCCAGTGAATTAATCCAAATCTCATTCTGATTCTTTTTATCTGGAAGGTGGAATCCTGGGCATTCCATCTCTTTTATATTCTGTACTCTCATATCCCATAGTCTGCAAATATTCTTTTCATAGCCTCCTAGATTGAGTGAGTTCTCACTGTATTAGTTCCTGCAAGAGCTTGTTGTTTATAGGACCCTGGCACCTCCTCTCTCTCTCTCTTGCTTCCTCTCACCANTAATGGGCAAAGGTTGGAGGAGTTTGGAGGATTTAGAAGAAGAGAAAAATATGAGGGAAAGTTTGGAATGTCTCAGAGACTTATATGTGGTGGTGAGCAGAATGCTGATAGAAATGTGGATAGTAAAGGCCATGTGGATTATGAGATCTGAGATTGAAATGAGGGACTTATTGGGAATTGGACAAAAGATAACCCTTGCTACACCATAGCAAGGAACCTGGCTTTATTGTGTCCATGCCCTTGGACTTTGTGGAAGTTGGAACCTAAGAATTGTGAACCAGAGCATTTGGCCAAAGAAATTTCTAAACAGCAAAGCATTAAGGAAGCTGCATGGTTGCTTTTAAGAGCCTACTTTGAGTTGTAGTGGCAAAATCATGATGTAAAACCAGAATTTAAAAGGGAATAAGAGTGTAAAGATTTGGAAAATTTGCAGCCTGGCCATGAGGTAGAGAAGCAGAGAGCAGGAGAAAAACACAAGGGTGAAGCAGATAAACTGGTTGCTAAAGACATTATCTTGGCATTGAGGCAGCCAGATGCTAAGAACCAGGACAATGGAAAAAATGCCCTAAAGGCATTTGAGAAGTCTGGAAGGGTGCCCCACCCATCACTGATCCTGAGGCCTAGAAGGACTGAGTTATCCTGGAGAACAGACCTGTGGTGCAGCTGCCCTTGGGAACCTGCTCCCTGCATCCCAGCTGCTCTGGCTGGAGTGGCCCCAAGTATAGTTCATGCAGCAGCCCTGGTGAGTAGAGGCCTGAAACCTTGGTGGTGCCCATGTTGTGTTAAGTCTGCAGGCCAGCAGGACGTGAGAGCAATGGAGGCATGGGAGCCTCCACCCAGATTCCAGAGGATGTATGGAAAAGCCTGGGG